GGGTGCGACCAATTCGGGGTGCGACCAGAGTCACGGAACAAATTAAGTTCGTAAACCGAGGTTCCACTGTATTCAGGACGATGATTCACACATCACTTACATGAATCAAAAGAACCAGTAACTAGTTCTATGTACTCAAAGAGGCTTGTGATTTAAGATTTTGAGCAGAACTTCTTTCCCCACCATAGAGGAGGGAAGGAGGAGGAGAAAGACAAGGAAGGATGGAAATGAAATCAGATATCCCACTGGACATGCCTAGAATATCAGGCATACCTAAAATATCTCTAAATCCTGGCAGCAAAATAATACATGTTTACAAGATAGATCATAAAGAAAGTCAATTTTCATCTATGACACTGTGTATATTCGTATGTGTAATTATGGGAAAGCGGCAAAAAAGTTTATTTAAAGACTTCTTGTAAAATTTCATAGTTTTAGTGAATAATGCACTAATTATCTGTATTTGGAAACAACTATGGACATTAGAAGTATTAGATAAGAGTCAGCATAGAAAAATATAATGTTATTGCAAGCTTTCTTTAAAAAAAAACTCGTTGAAAAATTCTCAGAGAAGTAATTGTTAAATCAATATTATTAAAATTTCTATATTTAGATGAGAATGCACCAGGATCTTGAAAGTGATTTTCCCAGTGATATTAAATCAGCACTGGGCATACTAGACCAGTATTTTTGGTGTGCTTAATTGCTGTTTTGAAGTATATCTCTAAATTATTGCTGTGAAATAAATTAAAGGTAATTTATACAATTTCAAAAGCCATTAGGCATGATCATTGCAAGGAAATTTAGAGAGAGAGTGAGAGTGATTGATTGATCTGTATGAATGAGTAATTAGATCCCGGTAAACTAAAGGTTATAGGAAACATGTGCAGCTATAGCAAAGAATCAAGTTTAATGTCTTTTAAGAATGGCATTATATTGCTAAAGCTACTTTAGCCTAACAACATTTTTCTATGCTCATCAGGATGATGTTCCACTACGGAGGGGAAGAAAGACCACTAAGAAACGAGAAGAGGAAGTGGATATAGACCTAGATGATCCTGAGATTAACCATTTCCCTTTCCCATTTCATGAGCTGATGGTGTGGGCTGTGCTGATGAAACGCCAGAAGATGGCTCTTTTCTTTTGGCAACATGGAGAGGAAGCCATGGCTAAGGCTTTGGTAGCCTGTAAACTTTGCAAAGCAATGGCCCATGAAGCATCTGAAAATGATATGGTGGATGACATATCTCAGGAACTAAATCACAACTCCAGGTTGAGCCATTCATGAATGTTACTTTTATGTCATTTATTTTGTATTGCCCAGAATCTCGATAAAATAGCCTTACTTCTTTTTATTATTGGGCTGATTAAACCAGAAGTCTTATAATGCTTTTCAAATCCTAGGAGAAAACACTGGGCAGTGTGAACAGTGTTGGTATGAGGGCTCCCACTTGGAATGTCTGCAGACACTCTCATAGATGAGGGAAAGGCTTGCAAGAGAAATAAATATTTCACTTGAAGCCCAGTGCTCAGTGGGCTGGCCTTGTAGACCAGAATAATACTTCTAAGCCAAGCCATTTCAAATAGTCATTGAGAATATCTGCTTATAGGACTTTACTGCTAGAATTTGGTGCCTAGCCATGCAAAAGGGAAAACAATCATAACAAAGATTGTTGTTATGAACATGAGAAATCAATCTTCCAGTTATCCATAAAGAGTCAGGTTTTATTGGTCAAAAAATAATGCAAAGCTGATGCAAAGATGCTGGAACCCTGGTCTAAAGCCCAAATAGCCCTATCAGGGAGTTTCTATTACATGTTGGTCCATTGAAAAGCTGCCCTATATAGAGCATAGTTTAACCTTGATATTATAAAGTTATAAGTGGCAGCTGATGCCATTTATGGACTGATAAACCAAGGCATGCTGAATGGCTGTTATGAGTATTCTTACTACAGGCATGCACATATCTAAGTAATAAGTTCTGCCAAGACAAGCATATTTTATCATTATTGGAATCTTGTTTCATATGAAACTCAGTCTGTTCAGCCACATCCAATCCCTCATTATGTCCACAAATACCAGAGCATCAGACAGGAATTGGATTTTAAAAAAAGATGCAAAACTGAATTCCAGACATCCCTATAATCAGAAAGCTTGGTTAAATTACACTATACTTTCATTATTGGAAATGTGATTCTCTCACAGATATCTAATACAAACTAGATCAGAAGTAAGCAGATTAGTAACATGGAGAGGATAGTAGGCAACTGGAAGCTGCGGCTTCCTAACAAAATTGAAATCAAGAGATTTAACTATTGTAACTGAAGTACAGTGCCTGCAAGTGCTCTCAGGATCTTAGCCAAGTGTGCCAGTGTGCGATGCAATCTTTGCAGAAGTAGCTGTTAACAATTGTTTAGATTCCATGTACAGTAACAGATTCACAAGCCAATAAAAGGGCCTTTCTTGCAGGGATTTTGGCCAGCTGGCAGTGGAGCTGCTGGACCAATCCTACAAGCAGGATGAGCAGCTGGCTATGAAACTCCTAACATATGAGTTGAAGAACTGGAGCAATGCCACATGCCTGCAACTCGCAGTGGCAGCCAAGCATCGGGATTTCATTGCACACACGTGTAGCCAAATGCTACTCACAGACATGTGGATGGGGAGGCTCCGGATGCGTAAAAACTCAAGTCTAAAGGTCAGGATTGTTTTAAGTGTAAAACTTAAGGGGAAGTTTGTATGTTAAATTAGCAT